GGACCCAGAGGCCAGAGAGGGGAAGTGACTTGTCTGGTTTATTAAGTGACGGCTTAGGAGCACCATAGTCTGAGTCCACAACTCCACTTTACAGGCCTCCGGACATACAACATTGCTTGAGTCTTTATTTGGTACAAATCGGGCAATAACCAGTAGGATTCCAACGCTATACAAAGCCAATTCCAAATCCACCATCCTTCTCCAAACCAGAACCACAGAACAAAGACAGACAAGTTCCAAGCAAAATCTTGGAAACTGAATCTAGCTCATTGAGAGCTGGGGAGCTGAATGAGTCCCCAGCTTCGCTCCTCACCAAAGCTGAGCACAGCCCTCTAACCCTGGCTCCCCCACTGGCGTGGCAGCTTGGAGCTTCATCACACTTGTTCTCCTGGCATGGAATGGAGTCGCTCCTTTATTCCTTCTGTAACATTTCCTGAACACCTAAATGTGCTCAAGAAAATGTGGTGACTCAGAGACGTAGAAGACATAGGACTGCCCTTGAAGAATTCAGCCAGTCGGGAGAAATAAGGATGAGTAATACTGCACAATGCAGGAACTCTCCTGTCCTCAAACTGGACCTGCTCTTCTAGGGCCAAGTCCTCACCAGATCACATCTCAAGGGTGGCAGCTATGGGAGACCATGTTCCTCAGGAGACTCCCACCCGTCCTCCAGTAGCATTCTCCCTAGGGAGGCAGACCCCTTCCCAGGTGACCCTCCACACTGTGCAGTCCCATTTTGGAGGGGGTGAGGGTGATGAAGAGGATCACAAAATATTTATCTTCAAGCATTTACCATGTATGAAATCTGTGTGTACAAAAGAGAAGGCAAACAAGCAAAATTTCAACCGTCAGCTTCTGCCAACTCAAACTTACAAACCAGTTCATAAGCTATAAAAGCCAGTTGGCCTATGAGAAGGGCATTGGTTTAAAAAGTGTGAATTCCTGGATCTCTGTCCTTCCTGTTCCCTTGGCAGGACATTAACAACGAAGGCCTCAGTTTGCTCATCTCTAGGTAGGGGCCAGGACCACAACACGGCTTAGAATTGCGTGATGGGACAGGACTGACTGATGCCAGCGTGCTTGATGCTTGATGTCTTTTTCTTTTTTTTAAAGATTTATTTGAAAGACAAGGTTGAGAGAGAGAGATAAAGAAAGGCGAGACAGCGAAATCATCGATCTGCTGGCTCACTGTCCAAATGCCTGCAAAGGCTGGGGCTGGCCCAGGCCAGAGCCAGGAGCCAGGAGCTTCTTTGCAGGGCTCCTATGTAGGTGCAAGGGCCCAAGCATGTAGGCCATTTTCCACTGCTTTCCAGGCACATTGGTAGGAAACTGGATCGGAGGAGTAGAGCAGGTGAACTTTGAACAGGTGTCCATATGCAGTGCCTACATGACAGGCAGTAGCAATTTGCTGAGCCATAGCACCCACCTCTATCTTTCTCTTAAAATGTTGACTTTCTTTGCTTTTAAACAATTTCAGGTCCAAGCTACATTCATGAAAATAAAAAGACAGTAAGTCAGGGAGAGGTGGGGAGTTGGTCAATAAAAGGAGACAAAAATTGCTTGTTAATGGGAAGGAGTAAGGTAGGTGAGGGGTGAAGAGGTGAAGCAAAGGAGGCTGCCAAAAGAGCCATTCACCATGAGGGTTATAAACAGGGACCTTGGCAGCGCCAGGAAACACATACAGAGAGAGACAGAGAAACACAGAGAGAAAGAGGAGTGCCAACTAAACATCCAACCCAAAAATGGTGATTAATCAAAATGGGTCACTTCCCAGACTGCAGTGGGAGCTCCATCCAGAAACACTGGGAGGCAGGGGATCAAGAACAGGGGTGAGTCCATAACAACACAGAAAGCCCCGCTAATAGGAAAGCTGAGCCCATGCGTGGCGTTGTGCAAAAAGCCTGGTGCAGAGTGGACGTAGTACCCTGAGCCCTGAGCAGTGTCCTTTTGTCAGGCAGGGCTCCAATCCCAATAGTACACACACATTCCTTGCTCTGTCACACAGCGCTTGCCAGCAGATGCCAGGCTGTACAGATGAAAGGGTCCTGCTTGTTCTGTGATCAGAGCCTGTTAGGGAAGAGGGCAACTTGCTTCATAAAATTAGTGTGTTTCTGTGATTCTTGGGGACTGCCATAAGATGTCCTGAGCTCCAGTGCAGGACCAGGGTGGGCTCTCTCTCTTCTCCCCAGCAGAATGCTCAGAAGCAGGTGTATTGCCTGCAGAAAGAACTGTGCTTACTTAGGATAAAAGAGCCTTTTCCAATGTAGTTGAAAAGCCATGGCTCTGAGGACTCCAGGGCTGAGGAAGCTGTTTTCTTTAGGGGGAGGTGTGTGTGTGTTTGTGTGCGTGTGTGTGTGTGTGTGTGTGTGTGTGTGTGTGTGTGTGTGTGTAGGGGTTTTTGCTTGTTTGTTTTGCACCAACTTGGAGGCTCTGTAACTCCACTGCTTGTTTCATACCACTCTATTCCTCCTCCCACCCCCATAACACACACAGCCAATCGCAGCCTGGAACACAGGATGTGCATACGGAGAGGCCAACAGATGCTTCCCGTGCAGTGAATGCTGTAGTACCAGCCACAGAGGACTACTCAGGGAGAAGGGAATGTGGCAAGTGTCTTGCTGCATTACAAGTGCCATCAGGTGACAGAAAGGAGTAACACGAGCCTCCCCCTGCAGAAGGCAAATTGTGTGGATGAGCGAATGTGGGGGACCATCTAATGACTTAGTTGTGCTTTTCTCACTCCACTATGGGGCCTCTGGGAACCAGGAGCAAATGCATTTGGTGGGATTTTGTTCCGTTTTTCATTCAGAGCATCTCTTCTTATCCCAGTGATATCACCCCCTGGAAGACTGAGATGTAAGAAGAGGTGAATCACATTATCACCTTTGCATCTCTTCTAGAATTACATCAGTCAGAGCCTCAGGTGCCAGAAGGGGGAGGTGGGGTGGGAGAGCCTCACCAGCGGTAAGGGAGCCGGTTCTTTTGTAGCATATTTTCTTTCTCCTACTCCTCAACTCCCAAGCCTCTCCTGCTATTAATAAACTGTGGAAGAATAAAGCTCAGACTTTAAAGAGATAAGTGCTATAGACTTCTTGGTGGTTTTGGTTTAGAGTCATTTGTCTCAACTTTTCAACTGACCGCCACGCCAGCCCCCTTCAGCCACAGGCGAAGGCCAATCCTGGCATCCTCACTAGACATGTCCTTTCGGTAAGAATGATGACACGGGGACACAGGGCCTGGCACAATGGTTCTATTGGCTAATCCTTCCAAGCACTAGGATCCCATATGGGCGCTGGTTCGAATCCCGGGAGCTCTACTTCCCATCCAGCTCTCTACCCATGGTCTGGCAAAACAGTCGAGGACAGCCCAAAGCCTTGGGACCCTGTACCCATGTGGGAGACCCGGAGGAGGCTCCTGGCTCCTGGCTTTGGATCAGCTCAGCTTCAGCCATTGTGGCTATCAGGTAGTGAATCACCAGATGGGAGATTTTTGTCTCTCTTTCTCTGTAAATCTGCCCTTCCAATAAAAATAAAATAAATCTTAAAAAAAAAAAAGATGAATAAAGACACAAGGCCCCCAAAGTCGTGCAGTCATGTTTTATGTCCTTCTGTTTTATGTCCTCAGCAGTCATGAAGGACAGAGGGCCTCGGCGATGTGTAGCAACCAGTGGAAATGGAGCTCAAGTCACACATGACAGGGCTGACCCACACAGTGGGTCAGTGAGGGGTCAGTGAGCAGGAAAGGCAGACCACAGAGGTCATGGGATGGGCCAGGATTTGGAGGCTGACCTCTCTCCACCTCCCCCTGGGAGCTTTTAAATCTCATTATATGATGTGGACCTGAAGGAGTCGGAGAGGGACAGGGCCTCTTTAGCAAGCCAAAACAGAACAGGTTCAAAGGCTTGCACATTGTCCTAAGTCCCTGGGAAGAGAGTGAATATTTAAAAACCATTTCCCATCCTCTCCAAGCCAATCTTCAACCACTCCCATTATTTAGGAAAGAAAACCTCTCCCCACCCCCTGAATTCCAAACTCCCCATGGTCTCAGGGTCTGGCTGTTCAGCAGGTTATTTATGAAGAAAACAAAGTGGTCCCAGAACCCCAGTGAAGGCCAGGAGGGACTTCCTTTCTGCAACACAAAAGAGGCCTGGGGGGGGGGGGGGTAAAGGGGACAAAGGAGAAAAAATAATTTGCAGAAGGCACAGTTTGGGATGCCTCTTCTTGCAATTTCCAGCTGATCGGGTGTAGCCTAACTGGAGACATCTGCTTAGAGTTTACAACAGAAACAAACACAAAGAGAGCATGAAAACTCCAAAACACACACACCCAAACCCAAGCTCGAAGAGCTCCCCTTTGCCCTGGCCTCCACACCGCCAGCCCAGGAGCGTCATGGCGGGCTGTACCGGTGGAGAGAAGGGAACAGGCAACAAGCCAGGCCCCTCACCAGCTGCACCTGCCCCTATTGCAGCTGCACCATCTTTATGCTCTCCTGGGGGCTGGGGAACCACAAAGCCCTGTGGATGACTCCTTCCAGTCTCTAATCCCTGTCCCTCCCCCCATAAAGCTCCTTTTGCAAAAGCAGCAATGACATCTTCAGACTCCATCTGAGGAACCCACAGGAGGTGGTAGGTGGTAAAATCTCAGGGGACTCCACAGGCTCCAGAAACAGCCTCCAAGATGGAAAACAGAACGCACACTGGCCTCCCAGAAAGTTAACTCAGAAAGACCAAAACCAAACAAATTTGACACTTAGCACACCTTCCTAAGCTATCAAGTGTCCTGGAGAACACACTGGCCCAGGAAAGCCCCACCAGGTAGAGTCCCTTCCGAGCTGCTCTCTCAGCCCCACCACCCGTCCCTACCTGCCCAGGACCACACCCAGCCCCTCCCACCTCCAGACCAGGCACCTGCAGCGGCACAAGTCTGTCAGCTTACCTGCGCTATTTTCCTCTTTATTCTCTCCCAGCTGGTGGGCAAACAAAAGCAGAACAGCGCTAACTCTTGAAAAATAACAAAATGTTTTATACACATTTCTGTATGTACAATTGCACAACCGTTTTTTACATTTGTGTGTGTGTCTTTTGCACAGCAAAAGGTATAGACATCAGCTCTGGGAACACAATTATGTACAGAACAAAGCAAAAATAATAACAGATGTCAAAATACTTCACAACAGTGCAACAAATATTTTACACGACGGCACGGAGTGACATCTTCTGAGCAGGAGGGAGGTGTGTGTGTTTCTAAACTAAAGCTTTTTTTAAGATATTAGAGGTCTTAAACTGTAAACAAAATGCAACTTTCTTTCACCACCATCACCGCAACCCCAAATAAAACAGTTATTTGAGGAATTTGGCAGGTTTTCAAGGTTCTCGGTCTGAGGTAAACAGCCCAACCAAAAAGAATGGAGGTGAACAGGCTCATTTGTAGACTCGGGAAGGAGAGCGCGGGACCTCCGGGCAGGGGGTCGAGGAGGAAGTTACCCCTCCTTGTCCGGCCCAGCCAGCCGCAAACAGGAAGTCAAGGCCAGGCACCTCGCGCCACGCGGACGCCCTGAACGGGACCCCAACCGGGCCTCCGGCAAGATTTGCCCCAATCACAAGGCACCTGGTATCCCATCGCGCAACCTGAGCCGCCACAAACCGAGCCAGGGAGTGGGGCGTGGCGCGGAGCTGGGATGGAGTGGAGAGGAGGGGGCGGTGGCGGCCGGGGCACCTGTTCACTGGGCACCCGGGCGTCCCCCAGGCTTTCCCTTTCCTGGGTGTGGGACACGGGGATGACTCGGGAGGCCCCCTGTGGGCGCGGCTGTTACTCAGCCCGAGCGGGGCTGCTCCGGGCTGGCACTGCCGGTGGAGCCGGACAGGTCTGCGGAGGTGACCGAGGCGGCGTCCGGGCCCCCACCCTCAATGGAGCTCTCACTGCCAGTGCTCTCGCCCGACAGCAGGCGCGTCACCCGCAAGTCGGCTTGCAGCGTGCGCACGTCGTTGCCGAAGCTGAGCTCGCCCAGGTCGCTAATGAGCTGCGACAACTCGGTTTTGATGTCGGACGTGCTTCCCAGCAGCAGGGGCGGCGGTTCGGCCCCGGGGCCTAGCGAGACCCCACCGCCCCCCGGCGCCTCCTCGCGGTCGTTCTCCAACGTGTCCACCAAGTCCCCGCATTCAAGGTGCATGGCCACCACCAGCGCCCCCTGCGTCTCGGCCTCCTCTTCCCCTGCTGGGTGATCCGCGTCCCCCTTCTCCTCCTCCTCCTCCTCCTCTTCCAGGCAGGCCTCGAGCTCCTCCTCCTCTTCCTCCTGGAGCTCCTGCTCCTGCTGCTCCCCGAGCAAGTCCTCGGTGATGGAGCCGAGCTTGGGCGCGCTGCGGCTGCGCTCCACCGGCGGCTTGTAGCAGCAGGGTCCGTGCAGAAGCAGCTTGCGCAGCGGCACAAGGGGAATGGTGTGAGCGCCCACCAGCTCCTGCTGCTGGTGGCGCGCATCGTCCCGCCGTTTGAGGCGTTTAAATTCTGCCAGAGCGTTGGCCGACGTCTGGTAGAGCAGCAGTGCCATGGCCTGCGCCTTCTCGGGCTTGGACACCAGCACTGCGTGGCAGCGCAGCATGACCGCCTTGTGCTTCAGCTCGTGCCGGTACACCCAGGCGAAGACCTTGGGAAGCCGAGCGTCCGCCACGCAGTAGGTAACGCGGTGCAGCAGGTAGAGGTGGCCCGGGCGGCGCAGCGCGCGCTCCTCAGCGTGCACCATGCGGATGCCCTGCGCACTCACAGTAAGCTTCATCTTGGTGCCCTGACGGCCCGCCTCACTCTTGCTCCAGATCTTGCCCACGGCTAAGTCGGTGCAGCCATCGCCGCGTGCCTGGATGGTGGTGGCATTGCCCAGGTAGAGCACGGTGTAGGTCGGGTCCTCGCTGGTGATGTGCAGCTTCTTGCGCTTGGAGCGGAACATGCTGCCCACCCGGCTGAGTGCGCCTTCCGGGCAGGCCCGAGCGAGCGAACTGAGAGCAGAGTAGTGCAGACTCACAGCGTAACCCTTGGGCTTGGACGCCTGCCGCGGCGGCGGCTCGGCCAGCAGCTCGAACTTGTGCTTTTTCCACGGCAGCATCTCCGGAGGGTGCCCCGGCGCAGCTGGGCGGCGGCGGCTGTGGAGCGCCGGGAGCGAGCCGCGCTGAGCCACCAGCCCCGGCCGGGCTCACCCCCGCAAGACCAAAAAATAAAAGTCTGCTGGGAGCGCCCCAGTAGTCGTGAGTTGTATTGGAGGAAGGGGTCTTGGAAACCCCGCGGGAGTAGCGGGGGAGATTATTTTTTAAAAATTATTTCCAACCTGCAAAATTAAAGGCGGGGGGGGGAGCACGCGCACACCAAATTAACCCGGCCTGGGCAAGGACCAGGGCTGCGTCTCAGGCAAACAACAAAAAGAGAAACGGCAACGAATGGAGCCGAAAATGTCTTAGAAACAAGCTAGATAGATGCGCGTGAGTAAATCAACGGAGGAAGCTCCCAATCAAAGCGCCCGGGACGTGTGGGGCACTCCTTGGCAAACGGGAAAAGAGACCCTCCAACCCTCTCCGCGCACCTCCGGATCAGCACACAACCCCAGAGGCTGCGGTCAGAAGCTGCGGAAACTCTCCCGCGAGTGTGCCAGGAGCCAGAGCTCCCCACCCCCACGGGGTGCGGGACACCAAGTGCCCTCAGCGGGGCTAGGTTCGCGGTGTACCCGGAGCGCAAGTCTGGCGGCGGGGCCCCGCGCAGCAGTCCGGCTGGGGCTCACCGCATCCCTGCTTCAGCCGATCACGGTCCGGGCTGGCTTAGTCGAAGCAGAGCTGGCCTCCGAGGGCGGGACGCGCGCATGGCCGGCTCCAGGGGTCCGCTGCTACCTCATTCCTTCTCTCCCCTGCTGTCCTTGTTGGGCGGCTCGCCTTTGTAGCCGGCCCTCTCCGGTGCCACGAGCGGTAGCCGGCTGGCACGCCTCACATCCTTGCCGTCCGGGAGGAAGATCTCGGGGTAAATATAGGCCGGCGTGAACCATTCGCTGCGCGGGGACAGGGGAGGAGCTGACTAGAGAAGAGGATCCGTTTCGGGCTCCGACGCCCGACGGGTCCCCGGTCTCTTAAAGGGACCCGGTTGCAGCCATTGGCCCAGGGAGCGGGGGTGACCTGTCCAATCCCGCGATTACATTCCAAATTGACCAGCCTCTATTTTAAAGCGTGGAAATCACCGAGACGCGGCGCTACCCAGCCGCAAAAGAAACTGGAACTCTGGCACTCCACCCCCAGGCTGAAATGCAACTCGCGGAATAAATATAAGGCTGGATCGAAACTTCTGGGGGAGGTAGCAGAGGATGAGATGGTACGGTAGACTTTCCTGTGTGAAAAGGTTGGAAAAATAGTGGCGCACTGCCCCTTCCCCTTGTGAGACAGTAACTGGGTGGCGTTGAGTATTATTTTGAGAACTTAATTCTGTGAAAGGAGATGGGCAAAGAAAACACCACGACTTACTTCCTACTATCTTGGAGGCTGTGACTGACAGGGAAGAGCACAAACGAGACCTTGAAGCACAAGATGTTTGCAGTGATCAGTATGGGTATGATAGACGATAAAACAAAGCATCCAGCTCCTAAGACCCCGAGATACCAGCTCCAGAGGAGAGGGGTTTTCTGAGGCGCAATTTCTTGATAATACTTGTGTGTGGCTTGGAGTTCAGTTTACTTTGGCAGGCTAGTCATTCAGTTTTATTATGTCATTGAAATGTTTTGAATGAGAATTCCCAATAAAACTTCAAACGGCCATGTTTTATTTGGGTGTCACATAATGCCTGACGACCTCCTCTGGTAGTCACAGTTGCATTAATCATGCCTATTTATTTTTTTAATTTATTTTCTGGGCCAATTGGATGATGTTTTTATCATCTGGCTTGACCCTTGGCCAGGCACTCATCGCTGGGCTCTTGAAAACGCCTGCTTGCCTAGCCTGTCAGCCCAGTCACAGCAATAAGACTTCCAACTGGGATGTGTGCTATATGGTGGGACAATCTTGCATCACACTGCCAGGCTGGTCCTGGAGTGGGCCGGTCCGCTGAAAGTGGTTTAGAATATGCCTGAGACCACATGCCAAACAGATCCTCATTTCAGAACCATGGCTGCTACTCCTGGAAATCCCCTAGCCCTTTTAACCTTCCTCTGAACTCTAGACCCATTTTCTCACAGTCATAGGTGTGAGAAATTTTGACTAACCTTTATGAGTACCTTTGAGCACCAGGCCATGGACTAGGAAGCTCCCGGCCCAGAGGATGTCAACCCCACCAACTCCAGGCTTCCACTGGATTGTTGGCTCTGTAAAAGTCCACTAGGTCCCCCAATGTGGGGTATAAATCAGTACCCTATGTATGCTGGCCTAACAAATGAGATGTGTGGGTGAGAACTAATGATGAGCTAAGTAAGTGCTCCAAGACCCAAAGTACCATGCGAAGATGGAAAGAGAAGAGGTTCGCTAAAGACCAGAGATGTCTTCTTGGAGGCGGTGACATTTTAGGGGAAAACGAAGTTGTTTGTTTTTGTTTTTACCAAGTAGGAAAGGACTTTCTGGGAAGAAAGGATAGCAAAATAACAGACGCATGAAAATGCACGTCTACGCACTGATTATAATGGAGCCAAATGATTGTAACAGCTTCCTAATCTTTTTTTGAGGACCTGTATAGATCCATTTGTTACTATAACAAAGTAGCTGAGGCTGGGTGATATAGGAAAAGGCAGTTTGAGTTTAGTTTGGATTTGAGGAAGGCTGAACATCCAAGATCGGGTGGCCCCATCTAGCCAGGGTCTGGTGCAGGTTCTTGCTGGTGGGTCCCATCACAGTGACGGGCCTGTCCAGGAGAGATGACACAGAAAGACAATAGGCCAGAGGGATCCAGGGGCCAAATTCACCTGCTGTAACAACCAATTCTTGTGGGGACGAACTACCTCCATCCCTTGTGAGGGTGGAGCCCCCTGACCTAATTACTGCATGCACTCGGCCCCACCCCATAAAGGTTTCACCATCTCAGCACCAACGTACTTGGGACCCAGCTTCCAGCACATGAACCTTTGAGTGACATTCAAATCACATCCAAGCTACAGCAGGGTCCCCCTGGTCCCCAAGGGAAGGAGCAGCCTTTTCACAGAAGACTGGAACCCAAGGGCAGTCCTTGGTAAGAGCTGGAATGCATTCCTCTCCTGCTGCAAAATATTCACTCAGTGGAAGTGTATCAGACTTGGTATGGCACTTGGTTAAGATGATACTAAGCCATGGCCGCCAATGTGAATTCTGTTCACATTTCTGAAATAGCTTTCAGTGCCAAGGCATTACACGCTGTGCTCCAAAGGCTAAAGCTTCTGGTGAAAATGTGCCAAATTGACCTTTACTGAGTGACCTTTACGGATCCATAATCTCAAAGTCCAACGAGTTCACAGTTTCTAAATGGTTCAGAGGTACAAGGGTCAGGGAGGCTTTGAGAGGAGGGAGGGTTTGAATGGTGGTGAGAACAGAGTGAAGGCTGAGCTCAGGGCTCACACTTCATGAAGTGGTGGGGCAAGCAGGGGACCTTGGTGGTAGGAAAGAATATACCTGCCAGCCTGGCTCTTGCAGCAGCCACCAGAGCGTCAGTGTCAGACACGGATGTCCACAGAGCTGCCTTCTTGGTGAGCTTGTTTGCACAACAGCAAGGTGCTGGGCAAATGGGACATCCTGGTATGTGAGTCATGCTCTGTGCCTGTGCTCCCACCCCAGCTGTCTCCCATGGTTGCCTGGAACAACCAGCTTCTGGGCAACCCCCTCACCTTGGGAGAAATTGTGCGAGAACACACGTAGCAACTGAAACTGTGCTTCCCCAGCCTTGACGGGGGGACGTGGTTGATGATCTCACAGCTGGCTTCTGGGACCCAAGGCAGTTCCTGCTCAGGACATTTGTAATGTGGGGTTGGGAAATGGCTGTGCTTTTTAATGACACTACCCCATCTACTGGTAGCAAACAGAAGTGCCACCTGCTGGGATGGTTTCTCATCAAACCAGAGGAGCCCCTGGTTGAATTCAATCTATTGCCATTCACCTCTGGAAGGAAAGGAGTCCTGGCCCCTAACTTGACACCCCCGAGTCCATTTTTTTTCTCTCACACACGCTTGTGGACTGACTTTGTTCCACCTTAGGTCATGCATAATTCCCTCTCTACCTTCTCTTCCAACAACCTACGGGATGGACATTGACTTCAGAGACGAGAAATGGCGCATCTGGGAACATCTAAGTCTTTCAACAAGTATTTGTTGAGTGTCCGATACAGATGTGACATGGTTGCTGAGAGAGTCAAGATGACATCTGATACAGATGTGACATGGTTGCTGAGAGAGTCAAGATGACATCTGATACAGATGTGACATGGTTGCTGAGAGAGTCAAGATGACAGCAAATGGTTGACAAGTAATAAATGATCAGGCAGTGAGAAGTCGGTGAATAAAAGAAAGCAGTGTTAGGAGTAGAAGATGGTTGGTTTAGACAAGCATGGTCAAGAAATGTGTCTTAATGGACAAAGACTTGTATAAGATAGAGCCAACCGTGCAAAGGAGAGGGCTTTAGCCCGACCTAGTCAGTACAGCAGTCCGTGTCATCAACCCAAGGAGACAGCCTAGCCACATGTGACTACTGAGCCCTTGAAATGCAGCAGACCCAATGGAGATGTGCTCTAAATGTGAAATACACTCTGGATTCTGAAGACTCAGTGAAACAGAAAGACTGACATGTCTTCATGCATTTAGGTTAACTGGACCCAGTGCGGTAGCCTAGCAGCTAAAATCCTTGCCTTGCATGCTCTGGGATCCTATATGAGCGCAGGTTCGTGTCCCTGTGGTCTTGCTTCCTATCCAACTCTTTGTTTGTTGCCTGGGAAAGCAGTGGAGGACGACCCAAAGCCTTGGGACCCTGCATCCACATGGGAGACCCAGAAGAAGTTCCTGGCTCCTGGTTTCAGATCATCTCAGTTCCAGCTATTGCAGCCACTTGGGGAAGCTCCTTCCCTCTGTCTCTCCCCCACTTCCATAGTAAAGAAAAGTTAAAAGAATATGCCTTTTCCAAACCTGCCCTACAAATGATACTTGAAGATGATCTCTTGACAGAGTAAAGGAATAGTACCCACCAAAACCAAAGGCAAATGCAAAGAACATCCCAGTAAAATAACAGCGGAAGACCAAATCAATGAACAACCCATTGTTAAAATGACAGAACCAAATTACCACACATTCATATTAACCCTGAATGTAAATAGCTTAAACTCATCAATCAAACATCATAGATTAGTAAACTAGATTAAAAAACAAAACCCATCTATTTGTTGCCTACAGGAGACATATCTCACCAACAAAGATCAGCAGAGACTATATCTCATGGATTTTGATTTTTTGTTTGTTTTATCTCTTCAAAACACTTTCTTCTGATTAAATTCTTCACTGGCTCATAGATCATGTAGTAGCATCATTTTCTTCAAGAAGGTTCTTGATTTTCTTTTACATTTCTTCAGTGACACATTAGTCATTCAGCAGCATGTTATTTAACTTCATGGTGTTTTTCTTTTTTTTTCTTCCTGCTGTTGATTTTGTTTTGCGGCTTTTCATTTAAGGGGATGTATAGTAACTGTGTAATGGAGACTATCATCCCCAGCAGTATGTTATTTAACTTCATGGCATTGTAAATTTCTATTTTTCTGCCTGTTGTTGATTTTTGTATTGTGTCTTTTCACTTAAGGGATATATAGTAACTGTGTAATGGAGACTATCGTATCCAGATATGAAGATGCAATGTAGTATGGGTCTCTACTTCCAAAGATGGACTTACAATGAAACTGATTACTATATCTTGACAACAGAATGCTGGACTCTGTCATTGTCCATGCCTGAAATGATGGACATATGACTGTGTAGGAAGAACTATACTATAGTAATGATATAGGGAACTC